AACATGAGGAATGCTGACTCCTTTGTTCCTCATTAAAGCACAAGACATTCCCTCAGGGCATGATCGTGAGTCACTGTGAAACCATCTGAGGTTTCAATCATTCATATTCCCTTGCTGTCATGCCTACATGACGAGCACAAGATGCATTTTTGCCTAATTTGGGGAGGAAGTCTGAGTATGAGTAAAACACACGCCTAGGGTGAATAATTCAACTCCTGAGTCAGCGTGGAAACATTAAACTGTTTTAAGAACATTTGGCCAAAATAACTAGAATTACAACCAGCAGTTCAGCTCAAAGCAGATTTTATCTCACACTAAAAGCTAGAGAGGGGTCTTTCTGAAATGATTTCTGGAGCACAAACTAAATCCAGTCAACTAATCCAGGATACAAACAAAAAGTACTGCAGAATGTAAAGAGTTTCCAGCATGGACTGACACACAAACACCTTCATGACAGAATGACAGATTCTGCTCCATTGGGCTTCCTCTCTGAGGCCCCCTTCCCGGTCCAGCTTTGACACACTCTCCTCCGCTCTGCTGCACGCCACTGAGTGGCTCCGATGGAATGTGATGACCATGGGCCGGACAAAGCCTCGTATTCATGGCCACACATCCTACTCTGGAAGTCTGTGACTGAAAGCCTTGATCACAGAGTGGGGGGTGGGGCGGTGGTGGGGGTGGGTAGAAATCAAACCACCCATCACCTGCCTTGTCAGATTTTTGCTGGCTTCCCCCTCCCCCAAAGCAACTCCTCAATTTTAGCTCGTGCTGCTGACTAAACAGAGAACACTCAACATTTATATACAAACACACACTAGCATGGGGGAATCTTGACTGGGGGGTTCACACATTCAGGTACGGCTCAAAATTCATCAACTTGGTAAAAATTTAAGCCAGTAAACTAAAATGTCTTTATGTTGTGTAAAAAGTGCAAAGAGATTAAAGATGGAAAGAAATGTCATAGCTGCTGCCAGTGGCTCAATGGGGTCACCGTGGTAACGGATATTGGCTTGTTATGGCTCTTTGTTCTGACAGCAAATGTTAAGACAGAAATTCAGGCAAAAATGTAAACCTCAAGACAACAGTTGGTGTGAGAAACTTTTTAGATGTGTTAGAAAAAAATTATCTTCAACCACAAGCAGCAGAAGGCTCCGATGGTTGCTCAGGTGTTTACAGTGGCTCATGTAATCCTCCCACTGTCCTAATGGGTGTGACCCCGCAAGGAAAGTTGACCATTGAGTAGGGTTGATAGTTTATCCCTTGGGTCCATGTGGCAGGGGTGAGGAGTGAGCACCACCTGACCCTGCCACGTGGACCTCAAGGGATAAACCATCAATCCTGCTCAATGGACAACTTTCCTCGTGGGGTCACACATAAAGACAGTGGGAGGGGTAAGAGATGTTTAAATGAACTTGAAGAGAATTTTCTGAGATAAAATGCAATAAAATATGGAAACTGGAAAAGGAATTAGAAAGTCCTAACGAGAAGCACAGCTGGTGATACAATACAAAATAGCCACTTTTAGAAAACAATGCTGCCAATTTGCCGCAACGCCGTGACGGCATCTGGGAGCCTTAGGTTGTTTATAAGTGGTCAGACCATGGCAGTAATGTGCGATCATGTCCTGGTGGTGGTATAAAGGGGAAATGAGGCAGTCTCGGCTTCTGCTGCCAAAAGTAGTAGCACACTAATCATCAGTGAACCACACGTTTTGATCAAACCCCCACAATGCGGGTGAAAAATTTAGTCCAACGCGGAAGTACCAAAAATCGCTGTTCCACCCTCATCCACTAGGGGCTGGTGTCAGAAGCGAGCAAATCCTCATTGACTGCCATGTTAAAAATACCAATTTCACAGCAGAAATAAACATGTTTACAGCTTGGTACCAAAATATGTTTTTTGTTTAAATGATCTAGTTTACACTCATGACAATGCTGAGGGGGGTGAATTTTTTTCTCACTCTTCTGTTTAAGTGTATTAAAAGCCTAAAATTCTGTATAATTAATGAGTATCAGACCCACGAGACCACAGAGCTAGCTCCGTGGAAAGGCCTCAGTAGAGCCTCGGTCTGGCCTGGAAACTGTTCAGGGATTTTGAGTCTCTGTGCTTGTATATTCTTTTTTGGATATTTTTTGTGCAATTGTTGGACAAAATGACAATTGCTGTGGCATTAATTGCACTAATAGAGCGTCCAAGGAGTCTCCATTTTTTTTCGGTAAGTAAAATTATATTCATGTATTTTAGGTCACTGCCGAGCTGAGCTTAGATTTTAACATGTACTGTTTAACCATGAAATTTACATTTAATAGGGTAAAACCCAGTGCATTTAACATAATGCTACACTTTAGAAAATGGGTTGAAATATAACATGTTGGTGGAGCTGGGTTCCAACTATCAGCTTGTGGAGCTCTTCTCCTCTCCCTGCAGCTCGGCACATCTCTGTCTGGTCACGGCTTCTGTCTGCTGCGCGGGCTGCCAGCTTGTGGAGCTCTGGGATGGAAACCTTTCCACCCGGTTCTCCCCAGCGGCAGCTCTGCGCATCTCAGATCGCAGCGGCGCTTGTCTGCTGTGTGGCTGCCGGCTTGTGGAGCTATCGGAGACCTCTGTGTTCCACCCGGTTTTACCCAGCGGTCAACCTGGCGTATCTTTGACTCAGAAGCTCTGGTGTTGTGCACAGTTAACTCCGGTACTAGCTAGGTTGCTACCTCCGTTAGCTTAGCTCCCACCTCCGCATTAGCTTTGGGTTAGCTTCAGGTTAGCTTGTAGCTTGTTCGACCGGGTGTCGTCAGTTGATCCCAGCCTTACAGCCCCGCCCTCAGCTCCTCCTCTCTTCCCTTTTGTGGAATTGTCTGGGCTTGACGGAACCTGTGACAGTGTCAAAATGGCGGTGGTGGCTACCTCCCGTTTTAGCACAAAAACGTATTATTGGAGTCTATGGAAACCCATTGTCCAATATTTATATGTCGATGGTTTTGATGTATATTTTGCACATTTGTTAGATTTTTTTTTCCTTTTGAAACTGAGGTACATAGAATTACCCACTAAAGCCTGATGTATCGTTCTCTGCCAGAACGCATTGATGGAGACATTTAGACGTCTCCATCACCTGAGGAGTGTTACAAAGCAATTCCTCGCCTGGACAACAGAGGGCATAGTGCTTTTCTGGGGTATCCTGCCACCATTACAGTTACAAATCTGGTCCAAGATAGTGTACTTACTATTGTGTTTACATTGTTTTAATGTATTTCAGAGACTTTTAACATGAATGAATGAATGATGAATTTGTCCCTCATTCTCCTCCAGCTCATCACTCAGTCGCCACCTCCAAACCCATGTTTCTCTTCTTTCCGTCCACATATAAAACACTTGCTCCGTTTCTTTTTACTCCTTCAGTCACACGAGAATAAACATTTGTATTTTCAGACTTTTCCGTGAGGCGTTCGTCAATCTGTTCTGTGTCTGCTGCTAAATATCTTTTTTTGGGGTGCTGTTGACAAAATTAAAGAAAGCTGAGTCCTGACCAATCACAAGCTTGTGGCCTCCGTGACTTTTGACAGATAGTTAAAATGTTGGGCATGTCTTTGTCACGCTCTGTGGGCCTGTCGGAGAGCCGTTTCACTAGCACATACTGGCTTTTTATAATGTGCCCACACAGACGGAGAGGTACAAATCAGGCTCAACCCCTAATGAGTGACAAGCAGTGAAAATTCTTCTGACCCAGCTTTTAAAAACTAAACAGCCCAAAAGTTTTACCAACAGGTAAATGATTAACGATCTGTGCTTAGTGCCTTTCAGGATCAGAGGACTTCAAAGTGCTTTACACCACAGTGTATCATTCATCCATTCACACGCTGGCGGTGATGAGCTACAATGTGGCCACAGCTGCCCTGGGGCGCACTGGCAGGTGAGGCTGCCGAGCACAGGCGCCACCCGTCCCTCTGACCACCACCATCAGGCATTGTGGGTTAAGTGTCCAGCCCGTGGGCACAACAGCAGAAGTCTCAGTCGGGAGCCGGGATCGAACTTGCTCTTTAGCCACTGCTGCCCCTAAAGCAAACACGACTCTGAAAAACAAAATCTCTGAGTCTTTAGCTGATGACTGCATGTGCATAAACAATCAGAGCTGACTAACAAAGGGGCCTTGAATGCATCAAATGCTGCCTGACAGTCTGACGATATCCGCTTCCTCTCAGTATCGAATATGGCATCCATTTGCCTGCTTTGTGTAGGTAATATAATGCAGCTCTTAGAACACATTGTGTCTCATTGGCTTTTCCATGAATCCTGCAGCCCTCAAGTACAAACATGCAATTTAGTTGCCATGCAACCTGCACTCATACTAGCTCGAGACATGTAAGCATCTTAAGTGTCTCTACTGCTACGCAGCATTCTCCCCTTACATGTACCTTGTCAACTGTCCTTGGGAATACAATAGAAGATGGTCAAGCAGAATTTAAAACTACAACTGCTTTTAATTCAGCAAACATGTTTGGACCTCAGTGAGGAAGATTGTAAAAACAGGATAAGGAGAGGAGTTGACTCCAGCTCAGACGAGCCCATAAGGCTCTGATTTTACCATCTGGATGCTTTGTTACCTCAGCAGGGGATCTCAAATTCTGTCATCAGATTTACCAGCTCGTTTCCTCTCCAGTGTTCCTCTCCAGGTGTGGCCACCCTCCTCATCGACAACTCCATGTACAATTCATGAGAGAAAACCGATGCCATGATGATGGTCTCAGTAAGGGACAAAAAGACAGCAGCAGTTTGAGTTTGTTTAATTCAAAGGTTCAAAGGGAAAAGGTTGGTGCTTGAATTGATGACTGTCTGGTAAAGAGGAAGCTCTGGGCATGATGGAGGGCTAGATTGAGAAGGAAACTTAACAGGAAGGGGAGGGTCTGAACTCTGGCTTATTCTTAACTGACAAGCTAAAGGCCAGTAGTTAAAACTGAATTGAAGGTATAGCCTTGGGATGAGTGTGAGTACTTCACAAAAGCAGGATGAAATCATAGATCTGTTGAAAGTTTAAGGTCTTTTGACCCAGAGTATAACAATGTGTCTGATGTTAAAGCATGCTCTATGTGGGAGCAGAACCAAGCTTCAAAAGCACATTTTTGTTATTAATGAAGTTTACTTCAGTGCCAATGTGCAAAGTGAAGGCTATCTCACTCTGTGTATGTAATTCACTTTATTCCCACAGCAGGCTGGACTCCACCTGATTGTTTCTGATCCAGTATGTGATCTTCATGGACAGAATCCAAAAGGAAGGTCCTGCAATAGAGGGATTCTGGTTTGGGAACCTCACCTCTGCCTTTTGCAGATGATGTGGTTCTGTTGGTGTCTTCGAGTCGTGATCTTCAGATTGCACTGGGCGCAATCAAAAGGAGGTAACCAAGGTAACGTGAGCACTGGATTAAAATGCTCCTTCTGAAGGTTTTCTGGACACTCCTCTAGGGGATGACCTGGAAGTGGCTGAAAAGACATCTGTTCTGGCTTTGGAAAACCTTGGAATACATTAGAAAAAACTGGGATGACTTGCAGACGAGAGGGAAGTCTGGATTTCACTCTGATTTGTTGCTTTTGCAATCCAGAATTGGTCAAAGGGACACTAGGCAGTTTTGGTTTGCTTTTGGCACCCCCTAATGTCTGTTGAGTAGAACCAAAAGCAAAACGTAACTCCTTGCTGTATGTTCGTCTTTTTAACACCTTATTCTAACAACTGAAACTTCTCCCAGTCTTCATTAGTATCTACAGGAGTAATTCATCCCTAAATTAAACGAATCAGCTGTGATCATGGACAGGAAGTAGACTGCAGCACCAGGTATGTCAGCTCAATTTTTTTTCACGTGTGAAGTGTGTAAGTCCAACAGACCGGACTGCCACTCTGAAGTTGCAAACATGGTGTTCTAGCCACAGGGGGCGGTGGGGTCTGAGGGACATTTCATTTGGTCATTTTAGCACAAACTGGCTCAAGAAAATTATTTTAAAATATGAAACAGCAGCAAAGTATGGCTTTAAGCTGTGGAAAATGGATCCATGTTATCATTTCCTGAGACATACATCATTTACTTTGTGTTCTATATGTTGATGTTATGAAGGTATTATTATATAAGATAACCTGTTTAGTCCAAACATGAATGTTCGCCTATTTTATTAAAGTCATGAAGAGAAAAACTCTGCAGACCAAATACATTTCTGCCAAACAACACAACCTAAATAACTAATTACATTATTTTGCTGTCAGAGTCCATTTTAATCCAACCCTAAAATTAGAGGATTACTGAGATGCTGTTACCTTCAGACCAATATTTCATCTTAAAACTTTTTGTCTTTCTGGAATTTTAACCCTGTGTGAAGTGTAGACAGCACACTCGCTCCCACTCACATGGTTACTAACTCACAACAGAGCGTCTTGAGTCACCTGACAGGAGTATATATAGGCTTCTCAGGCCAGCGGGGAGATCGAACAGGAATCACTTTTCAAGCTGACACTTGCGGCTCTATGTACGGGGAAGAATTTCATACGAGGGTTGTCTTTTTCTGCTCTCTGAAACGTATTTATAGCAGGTGAGTTCAGGGCAGCAGAGGCATGTGTGGCGTGGCCTTCTGAAACATCACCATGTTAAGAGATGCCAGGGGCGTCAGGGGCAGAGCCAAACGTGTCAGTGTATCCTATAGAACACATATTTATCAAAACAAAAATACTCCGATTAAAGGCTGTACAAACAAAACCAAAACCGCAGACAACTGCAACTAAAACACAAACCAGTCTGAGATAATACTGTGTTAGGTTTAAGTGTTAAAATAGATGGAGTTTAGTTTGATTTATCTCATTTGGAGAGCTTTTACCATTTAGTACGTGGACTGTTCAAAACTATTTCTTGTGAATTTATTATAATTCATTTATCATTTTAGTAGGATTTCTCCAAATGAAAACCACATTCAGAACTAGTCATTATATGAAAAAGAAAATAAAATTTACAAATTAATGATGAAATAAAACTAATGAATTTTAGTGACCCACTATTTTAAAATGGTTTACCACTGTCTTTCTTTAATCATTCCTGTATGTAAGCCCAACTGTGTATCTGCAAAATCATAGTTTATATCCATCCGTCCGTCCGTCCATCCGTCCGTCCATCCATCCATCCATCCATCCATCCATCCATTCTCCCATCTGCTGTGAATTGAAACGTTCTGATATGGAGAAAAAGTTTCATTTATAATGATGCAACAAAATCATGAATCTGATTGTATATATTTCAGAATATTAGAATGGTTTCATTTTAATTTTTGTCGCTCCCTGAGATGAACTTCCATATTATTGGATATTTTTCATTGTGTGCAGCACAGAAAAAGTTGTAAGAATAGAATAGAATAGAATAGAAAAGAAAAGAAAAGAAAAGAAAAGAAAAGAAAAGAATAGAAAAGAAAAGAAAAGATAAGTCCTTTATTGTCCCTCAGTGGGGAGATTTTGTTGTCAGAGCAGCAATTACATTCACAACAGGAGCAACGAAGAATGCAACATAAAGAATAAAAGGCTGAAAATGAACAAAAAAGAGAGAGATAGCTATACAAATAAATTAAAAGGCAGCCGGCTCTAGCTGAGCCAGAAGCATACTGAAATAGTTCCAAGAGGGAAAAGCACTTTACCGCTATATCACCCTTAAACAAAATGTATTGTAATCTGGTCGCAATATAAATGAGTTCCAGATGTGTAACTCCTGACAACAGCTTTACCTGTTTCTCTTAGTGGAGCTATCGTCTGTCTAGTCCCGCCTCCTCAGAACTGATTAACGTAAATGATCCTTACTTGCTCTGGCAGGCAACACAACACAGATTATTATTCTGTGCTACAGAGGTTTGTGTGCAATCTTCCGGTGTCATGAATCATTAAACAGGTGACTGTAATCCATACAGACAGCTAGATTCTCAGAGTGACAGAGAGCCACCTGATGCTGCATGTAAACCAACTACCCTGCTGTTCTCACAAGATAAAAACTTAGATTTCAAATTCAAATATTCTAATTTACAATTATTATGGATACTTCATTGTGTGTTGTTAAGAGGTTTATGATGGCTTCATAAATGAATTTGCACTACAAATGTTTGTCAGATTTATTGAATTTGGGTTGCAAAGGACCATCAAGCATGCATCAAGCTGTCCTAAGCACAATGCAGCAGCAGTTTTTGACGCTAAAGGTTTAACAAAAGGCAACAAAAAAAAATAAAACACATCTGGTGGCCATTAATCTGCAAATCCTTGGCATAGTGTTGCAGTAACCAATGGCAACTGCTTCCGTGTCAACAGAAATCTTGGACAGCTCCTGCAGTCCAGGACCCTGAAACATGATTGGCTAGCTGAATCAACGACTTGCAAACTTGTTTATCTATTATGCATGTTGGTTCACCTTTACTGTGTTCTTGGATTCATTCTCAGGTATACCCAGCTCAGCCGAGGCCAGTCACTGTTAATCAAAGGACACAATCTCACCTTGGTAAGTAATGTCTTTGTTTTGATCCCATCACCTGTTGACTCGAATACATGTGAAACTGAGAGAATTTGAGTATGGTGCAAAAGTCAATTTATTTCAGTAATTCAGCTGAAACTGAGAGACCATCTAAAGGCTTAGGCACCCTTTGCAGGTGTTCCTGTTTCATTAGCTCATCAGAGTGTGACACATTGAGGCTAGAATATTGAACCTTTTCACAATATTCTAATCGTCTGAGCTATTGAATGTGGTGTTTTCATGAGATGTAAGCTATAATTATCACTGTTATAACAGGCTGAAGTATCTGGCTTTTTTTGTAATGAGTCCGTCTCAAATTTTACTTTCACCTTTTAGGTGAAATTACTTAGATGAATCGAAGTTTTATACAATATTGTAATTTTTGGAGTTTCACTTGTAATTTGGATTTTCCCAGTTTCACTATATGCAGTTAACCTTTGAGAATAGACTGTCTATGATCTGAGGAGATGTCATGAATAGGTAAAAACTGTGAAGAACATTCAGATTATGTGGGAATTACAGCTCAATTTTGTTTTGTTGGACTCAGACACTAAGACAGAGATTGAGTCAAGTCACAAATGGAGCTTTTTGGATCTACTCTGTCAGCCACGTATACTCGGCCAAAAACCAGCCACTTCCTCCCTGCCATCTCCACTATGGCATCCAGCTATCGCAACACTCAGCCAGCCTTGATAATGAATCCCAGTGCCAATCTGTGGAGAACCAACAGCTATTACAAGAGCAGCATCGCTCCCCCCTTGACCTCATCTACACAACGTGACCATTTCGATCTAGTTCGAGCCAAGACTGCATTGTACCCTTCCAACAGGAGTGCACTAATGACCCGGTACACTCCAGATGACTGGTACAAGTCCAACCACAGCAATTACCGGGAGTCAGAGTCCTCCAGGAAAAGTGCAGAACGACTGAGGAAAGATACCATTAGGCTGATGCAAGATAGAGAGCAGCTCACCAGACGGACACAGGAAAATACCAGCAAGAACATTGCAGAGAGGGTCAATGACATAAATTTTTGGAAGTCTGAGCTGAATCATGAAATTGACAATATGGTGACAGAGATAGGAGCACTCACTGAGGTCAAGAGGAGGCTGGAGAGAGCCTTAGCTGAGACTGAGGGACCCCTTCAGGTAAGAAAGACAATATTATGAGTGTGCTAGCTTGAGTCATCATCTTTTGTGAATATTTCAATTTTGAGATGAAGTCTTGAGATCCAAACAGATTGGTCAAGTCAGCAGAACAACCACTAAAATGTGTTAATCCTGTTGCAGAGGGAAAAGGTGTACGCAGCGTCTCTTCTCCTTTTGAATCAAACTTTTATTAAGGTCACCTAATACCAGTGATCATTAGTGTCACACTGGGTGCATCAACCTGATCTAGCTAACAATCTGATGGAATGGACACCTTGATGTACTAATATCAGGTGACAGAGTTTTCTTGGAGACTTGTCCAAGCAACTGAAACTGGAGAATACAGCTGACCCATTGCAACATGCACACATGCACAGCATGCTTTATGTAAAGGATACATTACATGCCAACAATCCAGTTGTCCGATTTTCAAATTGGTCACCATCTCTGTTAGTGCTGAAAGAAAATGTTGATGCTGATTTTATCTCAATAATGTCACACCAAGTTCTCCTACTCACAATCATTTCATCAATAGGTGTCTCAAGAGTGTTTGTACCACAGAGAGAAGAGGATGTCCATCGATCTGGTGCACGATGATGTAGAGAAAGACTTAATAAAGGTAAAATCATAATAGTAACTGTTCAACATGTGACCTAAACCTGGCTGCAGATATAAGCTGACAACTGCTTTCTAATTATGCCATAACAAGGAAGTAGAAGTTATAAAGTCATGTCAGGAGAGGATGAGGCGCCATCAAGACAGAGCCATTGCACAGCTGGCGTAAGTCTGACTAATTAAACACCAAGTTGGTAGCAATTGCAAGCTGGTGTTTACAACTGAAGTTTTGATGGTATTCATGTTTATTTTTCTTTGAGGCTGTCTTCAGGTCAAACCGAGCAGCGCTGCACGAGCTGGAGAAAGACTTGAGTGACAAAGTGACAGCTCAGAGGATCGATGACAGGTGTCACCATTTGAGGAACACATCAGACGGGATTGGCTATTACAGGGGGATTGACAGGCTAGACCATTCGTAAGTACACAAATAAGTATGTGCAAAGGCAGCTGGGGCAAGAACATAATCCATCATCTGCTGTAAAGAGGTGATCAATTTCTGTGAATTTTAGCCAATTTTACCACAAAAAACATTAACTTAGATGTTTTTGTTGAAGCCCTTTTTGAATATAAAATAAATTCCTCAATTTATAGAACAAATCCTATAATTAAGTAGGTCATAGAAAATAGCATTCTCATGGCTGTTTGAAATCTGGAAACGGTAAATCATCAACATGCCATTATTTAATCCCCAGAATGGGGGCTTGTCCAGGATTAGCAGGGTATGAATGAAGTCCTTGACTTTCTAACATAATTTTATGTGATCAGTTTATTGAGATATACCCAGTCTGCCTCCAGCTCTTCATTCTAGCTCACTAATCAAGGCCAACATGTTTAATCTCTAATCTCTGTTCTTCTGTCTCTAATTAAGCAAAATCTTCCAGCTTTACATTTTTTTAAATATGCATGAAGAAAATATGATTCCTGTATTTTAACAACCATAGGTTGACAATCCACTATACAGGTGACTCTAGATTAATATTTAAGAATTTACCAGTGTTTCATTTAAATAGTTAATGAGTAGAAATTTGTATTTAGGACCCCTGGGCCAAATTGCCATTAACCCTCTGAAGCTCGAAATAAGTTCTGAGAAAAGGATGAACAACTAAGTCCTTCAGGGGTACTTCTGAGTTAAAAAATGCTCATGAAATACATATGTGGAGTAACCAGGTAGGTAGGTTTTAACGTTGCAGATCTGCAACGCTGGCCTCGAGAGGGTTAACTTGTACAGCTAAAAGTAATGTCATATGTTAGTTTCACCCTTTAAGTGGAATTGCTGACATAAATGAACTTTTTCTCAATGTTCTAATTTTTTGAGTTTTCTGTAAGTTAGTATGAAGTGAAAACCTTTCAAAGCACTGCAGGAAAACATAACCTGACTATTGCAATGTCTAAAAAAACATGTTTTTAACCAACATTAAATGTTTTAGTGCATTTGATACAGTATGTAGTTTGTACAAAAGCATTAAAGAGATGATTTTACATTTCATTTGATCAGAATGGTTAAAACAGCTCAGAAAGTTTTCTTCATACAGTAAAACGCTGGATGGCTAAATTTGAAACTGAATATATTTTAAACAAGCTTGAATTAGTTTTTGTTCTTTTCAGAGTTTCTCTGCCAGACTCGTGGTCCAAGTTCACAGATGACAACATCCTGCTCTCCCAGAGCGAGCGAGCAGCCTCCCACAAGCTCAGGGATGAGATTGAAATCCTCCTGAACACCACATCCCATGAAATGTGGAACCAGTTCAACAGCGTCAATGTTGCTTTCACCAGCCGTGTGTCTGAAACTGCTGACGCCAAGAGCAACCTGCAGTCCCACCTGGCCAAGGTCTTCACGTCTTTTACACAATGACCACAAACATCTTATTGGAGCGATGTGAACAGTTGGACATGTTTTTTTACAAAGAAGTTTTTGAAAAGAAAAAATGGGAAAAAGACTGAACTGGTAAATTAGCTTCAGTACGTCAAAAATTCCCATTATAAGTTAAAAAAATTGCAGATTGTATTATTTGACTTTCCTTCAGACAAATCCTGGATCTAATGCAAAACTACCAAGTGGGGCATGTTTTCACATTTGCTGTGGGGAAACTGTTCTTTCCATCAGGCAGTGTAAAAACATTAGAGTTAAACTAGCATTGGTGCATCGCTCAATGATTGTGCTGTGGTGAACAATGACTCCTTCTGTTCTGTGATGATGCTAATTGACTTTAAGGCAGTTGTAATATAGAGCACAGTGCTTTTCATAAACCTAATTTTCTCTCAGCTGTTAAAAGTAGCGATTTCTTGTAATTCAGTTACAACCAAAAGGTTTAGACAGAAGAAGACTCTGGTCAGTTCTCTTTCATGGATGAGAACATTGTTTAGGCCACTTCTCCTTTAATCGTCACCTATTTGTACCAGAGAGTATTTGATTTCTAATTTCAGCAAAACTTCGCTGCCATAAAATATTTTATGAATGTTTGTCTAAAAGTTCAAGCTTGTTGTTTTATCATACCAGACTCTGCAGGAGATCTTCCAGACAGAGATGCTGATTGAGTCTCTGAAAAAGGCCTTAAGGGATAAGGAGAGTCCACTAAAAGTGGCCCAAACCCGACTGGAGGAGAGAACACGCCGACCTAATGTAGAGCTCTGCAGGGACAACCCACACCACAGGTAAATGGGAAAGGTTTCCCAACATGGATGGAAAATAAAAAGCCCAAAGAGTGAGAAATGTAAACATTAATTATCCATCTTCAAATATGTGCGGTATGAAAGTGCTACTAAAATCATAAAACCCTGTGGTTTGATTTGCAAAAAACTTGAAATACCCCAAATGAGCGATTTCACTTTTTCTTTAATTCTTCAGACTTGTGAGTGAAGTGAGAGAGATCGAGGACACCATCCACAAGCTCCAAGAGAGGCTGATGGAGGCAGAAAACACTCTGCAGAATCTGGTGAAGACTAAAGTAGCCCTGGAGCATGACCTATCCATTAAGGCCAACTCACTTTTCCTGGATCAGGAGAAGTGCATGAGCATCCGTAAAGTATTTCCCAGCATGCCCCGTCTGGTGGGCTACACTTAAAACGGCCTTTGAAAAAAGGGTTCTGAGAGGATTTGATAGCAAATAATAGAATTTAGAAATATTTTAAAGGGGCCAGATCATGCTATTTTAAATCTTTTAGAGCAAATGTAGGCAGAGTAAATGATAAGAATTAAACATTACCGTCGGCACTAATGAGATGTCATTTATCTTAACTCATTCACTGCCAATGACGACTAAAGTCGTCATTTGCATTTTTTTACTGTTTGAGCATCGGAACGAGCCCCTGCGCTGAGAGAACAAACATCTCAGCCCTGAAGCCGAACTTCATCTGTATCCGTCACAGATCACATGATCAGGAAGCAACATATCCATGTGTTTGGAGATCGTTTTGGGCCGTTCCTGTAAAAAAAGTGAGGCGCGAACCGGAAAAGCGTCTGCCGATCACAATTCGACAACGGATTATGAAAGAACGGATAACGCTCGAAACACGCGGCTTCTTCCTGATGTAAGAGGTGAGTCTCCTCTTTGTTTTGGTTGTTTTGGCATCAACATCATGCTAGCGCGCAACATTCTGTGACTCTTAAAAAAACAGTAAAAACAGTGAGAAAGGCTGGCAGCGAAGGCCGTTAGTGATCAGGAAACGGCTGGCAGTGAATGAGTTAAATAGCAATTTACCCCCTACCAGAGTCTTACTCCACCCCCACTTCCTGTTTGGAAAATGCAACAAATGCTGTTGCCTGGCAGACCAAGAGGGCAGAGCCGCTAAGAAATACACACATAGGCTCACAATGACATTGTGACATCACAATGTACCAACCAACGTCATAGTGTACCTCTTAGCCAATAGTGATGGCAGATTTAAATTCAAATGCAGTGCAGAGTTTTTACCTGACAATGGCACATGGTTTCAGGCTGAATGTTTAAATTTTAACTAAGACTACACATGTCTACAGCACGATTAGACACTCATTTATATAGTTTATCAGCAAGAAAAAGTTGATTTGGGGGTGACTTGCTCTTTAAGTGTGAGTTACTTTTGTCAGCCTGATTTTATACCTGGAAATACCTGCCCACGCCCGCGCCAAATGAAAATAGAAACTAGAAGAAAAAAAACTTACCGCCACAACCGTGAGGCAAACCTGTGCAAAACTTTATGTATATACATATATATATATATAGAGAGAGAGAGAGAGCCCAGCACCCTTAACTACTGGGCTACCAAGTTTTTTTTTACAAAACAGTTATTGCTTAACACACACATCCTGAGCGTGTCATTACGAGCATCTTTGTAGACAGGATGCATGGTTTGTACAGAAGTCTTTTGTCACCAATGCTGGAGTAATTTGTCAGAATATCAAGATCCAGGTTTCAAAACCATGACCAGACCAGGTTCAGGGGGAGGAGAAATCCCGGGTGACGTAAGTGGGCTACTTTCTGTCGTTTGCAGGATAAACCTTTACATCGACCAAATTGAAGCTGAGACATGAAAATGCATGAATGCGGCCAAAAACAGGTTTGAGGGTATTTCTCATGTTGAAATGACAATATAACGTGGTAAAAAGCTCTAAAAGTGGATTTTCCATGATATGGCCCCTTTAAGTGTCAGTGAATTTTTATGTGATGATTAGGTCTTTTTGGTTTGAATGCGGAAAAGGTTGAATCAAAATAAATAGTGTTTTGACTGTTATCATATCTTATGTGTATATATAAATGGACACAAATAGGCTATGTGTCAGTTTATAAACGATTTCATTTTAAGACACTGTTAACTGAAATAAGTGAAAAAATTAGTCAAGAGCAAAGGCTGCATCTGTTGACTGCTGGGAAATCTTAGCCTGGTAAGCTATCCTATATATGTGAAAATATAAGATGGTCACTCACGATCTATAGACAGAGCTTGGTTGTGGGGCAGAACTTACGATTGTCTTTCAAACTGTCTCCACACGAAACTGGACAGCACTAGGACCAATCAGAGCAATATTGTGCCATATTTATAGAGATGAAAATCAGTCAACAGTCCGCCACACATGATCAAAGAAGTAGTAGGAGAACCTCAGTCCACTCAAGTCAAAGAAAGGCTCAAGCCTAAATCATCCAGAGTTGATGCCAAAGCTGTTTCAAACAAGCTTGTTCCTGAGCTGCCACCATCTTTTTTGTTTTACTCCTTTGCAACTCTGATGCTTAGCCTCCCAAACATTCAAAGATAGAGCACTGTGATTGGTCCAGCCTAAACTTGGCTGAGCCAGTGGTAGACCTGATGAGGCTACAATTGAGTGTGGCTGCACCAACTTTAAGAGAAAAATGTTTCGCTACTGTTACAGTTTGTCTTGATTGATTGTTAAATTGATTGCTAACTTTTCGGACCTTTATTATGAAAAATAATAAGACCTATTCTAAAAAAGCCTGGTTCTGATCCCAATAACTTCAATACACTTTGTCCAATCTCTTATCTCCCTTTCATCTCTATAATCCTTGAGAAAGTTGTTGCTTCTCAGCTCATCTCCCATCTCAATCATCACAACCTTTTTGAACAGTTCCAGTCTGGTTTTCGCCCTCTACACAGCACAGAAACTGCCCTTGTTAAAATCACAAATTACCTTCTCATGGCAGCTGACTCCGGTTTTCTTTCCCTACTCATCCTTCTTGATCTTAGTGCAGCATTCGACACCATCTCACACTCAACCCTTCTTAACCGGATAGCTTCCCTTGGTATCACCCACACTGCTGTCGCCTGGTTCTCCTCCTATCTCACTAGCCGCTTCCAGTCTGTTCAATTAATCCTATTCTTTTCACCCTGTTGCTGTTTCTGCTGGTGTTCCCCAGGCCTCTGTCCTTGGACCTTTCTTATTCATCATCTACATTCTTTCACTTGGCCAAATCTTTTACAAATACAAGATACATTTCCACTGCTATGCAGATGACACCCAGATCTATATCTTCTCTCAACCCAATGCAATCTTCCCTCCAGCCTCCCTGTCCAGCTGTCTCCTTGAGATAAAATCATGGTTCTCATCAAACTTCCTGAAACTCAACAGCAATAAAACTGAAATTCTACTCATAGGGAAACACTCCACTCTGAACAAATCTCCCAGCATATGAATTAACATTGATAATTCCCCCATCCTTTCTTCCCCCATGTAAAGAGTCTTGGCGTCATCCTTGACAGCACTCTATCATTCAAAGCCCACATCAACAACATCATTCGCTCAGCCTTTTTTCATTTACGCATCAGCCGACTCCGCTTCTCTCTCACTCCTCATGCAACAGCCGTCCTTGTACACAGCCTAGTCACTTCTAGGACTGATTACTGTAATTTACTTTAACTCTACTTTTTGGTCTCCTCCATAAATCCTTTCATCGGCTCCAACTTCTCCAAAATGCAGCTCCATTGATCATCACTCGTACCCCCTCCAGAGATCGCATCAGCCCTGTTCTTCAGGGTCTCCTCTGGCTGCCGACTGAACACTGAATCTCCTTCAAAATCCTGCTTCTCACCTACAGATGTATCCACTGTCTTGCCCCTCCTTACCTCTCTGATCTCATTCATGTTGCTGTACCATCTCGCGCCCTCAGGTCTTCTTCTTCCATTCACCTTGTGGTTCTTCCTGTTGGAAACAGAGCTTTCAGTCGCTCTGTTCCTCGGCTCTGGAACTCACTTCATCTTGACATCTGAAGCACAGACTCCCTCCTCTCATTCAAATACAAACTCAAAACTCACCTGTTCAAACTGGCTTACACTCTCTAGGCCACAAACTCTCCACTCTGTGATTTATAGTATATTCTTTGTAATTCTATTGTTCAAATTATCTTATTCTTATTTTGTGTATGTTTTATCATGTTTCGTGAGGTGACCTTTGGTTTTGAAAGTCACCTATAAATTAAACGTATTATTATTATTACTATTATTATTATTATTATTATTGATATAAAATAATCTTGTTAGCATTCAACTGTTCCCACACATGCTGCGTTTCATCTGTCCTATTTCCATAATATTTCAAACATTTTTCCTCATAATGTCGAGTATATACCCATGATTTTTGACAAATATGTGTTTTTAACCTCGTGCTCAGCAGCAGTGTTGTGAAATCCACCTGGAGTACTACATGATAAATTCAAATTCACTAGAGGGAATAAAAAGGAGTGATCTCTGAAGTGCTACTGGGATCAGATTAGAGTTTGACTATTCAGCATTAACTACAAAAACATTTGTGTCTTTGAAGCCTTTAATGATCTGGTGGTCCTTTACCTCAACCCGAGAACAAGCGGAACAAACAGCTTATAAAGCCTCACACCCAAACAATAAAATCTCACACTGTGGCTTCTTCTCGTCTGAGCAGTCAACCCTCATTTCTGCACACACACACACACACACACACACACACACACGCACGCACGCACGCACGCACGCACACACACACACACACACGCACACACACACACACACACGCACACACACACACAGTAGGACTATTATCACTGTATTTAGCCCAGCCCCTTCACTATCATGCTTCCTGAACAACCTTTGTCTTCTATGTAGAAAGTAAACACGCTATTATAATCAATAAAATCTCAGTTTTTGTTACAACCCCGACATGTGTTGTTAAAATGTGAAGGAAGGGGGTAACATAAGAAACATGACAGTGGATTAAAATGGGTTTAATTGTATAAAAAGGTTCCAAAACAAGTGAGCAAACAGATGGAGAGCATTATAAAACTAATGCTAAACAAAAAATTCTCTAAGGTTAACAGTTAACAGACAATTAAAACACCTGGTTAAAACTTTATAAAAAGTTTCACCGAACTGAAGGTGTTTTAAAAACACAACGAAGTTGATGAAAGTCTAAAAATCAAAACAGAGTTAACCTTAAAACACAGTCAACTAAGATGACATGTGTTGGGTATTTTTATAATTGTACCTTTTTGAGGCCTAAAAGATGCCCATTTTGTGTTATTAACACTTCATGAATCTCTGTGTTTGCCAACTGTGGCTGTTCATGAAAGGTTGAGCAAGGATGTTGATTGTGAAAACTCTGTACCTCTGTAACCTGAGAAGGCCCCGCCTTCTCCTCCATCCTTTGAATAAAGCCCCTGACGAACTGAGAACACAGGGGAGTTCCTCCTCCGAGGCTTTCCCCTGCGTTAACTCTCCATTATTTTGGGGACTCAGGGTAAAATGTCATCCTTGTTGTTGTGTGTTTATTTCAGGTTCCAGGGTTATGGAGATTAAATATTACCCACCATTTTGGTGGAGAATGCAGGTATGCAGAGCTGGTGAGCTGAAGGCTGGAGCAGAGTGGGGGCTGGGTTATCTGCGGCCAGTTTCTCACATGTTGATTCGCGCTCACGGACATTACAAATAATCTACTCTGTGTGTGTGTCATCCTTTAAGGTAATATTGGATAAATGAAAAATTACCTATCAACATGAACAAAAGATCCTGAGATCTCACAGAGTTAAAACTTTTAGAAGTTACAACTCATCTAAACGAAGGGGGTTTAAAACAAAACGAGGCCTGGAGGACAGCAGAACCCCTGCACTGCCTCCCAGACTGCTGAAGGCACAGCCTTTTTATCCCAGGTGTAGGTCGCAAGAAGGATTCGTCTCAGCTGTGCTCCTCAGCAGTCTGGAAGATAGGAGGAGGAGGGGCGGTGTCGGGCTGATCACCGGGGCTGGGTGATCCTCGCTCCTGCATCCAAATGGCCAGGCTGGTGGCCATAACAGTTTTAAAATCATCATAACTCATCTCATGTTGCATTCATCTCCACATTCACTCATAAAGGTTTTATGAACCATTAGACTAAAGCCAAGTTGTCTTACCATAAATCAAAGGAAATTGGTGAAAACCGTCCAGCTGTAAAGCTTCATGGTGGAGAACTAATGACTTAGACATGTTTTTACCTGAACCCCTTCAAGTCCATGACCTTTTTTGTGTATTGGTTAAGCCTCAACTGAATTTCTTTTAAACCCTCTAGCGTGTCACACAAACCAAACAGACCAAACGTTGTTGATCTGACGCAACATTGTAAAGAGCAGTGGGCTACATTTCTTCCATATGAAGTGTTATAGTTACCAGTGGCTCTATAAGCTACTTGTTATGGAGGTTATTAGTGGGTAGTTTGACCTCTATACACCAATTTAGTGCATTGTTTAAAGGCAAAAACATTAGAGTCTGCCTTTCAGCAGAAGGGGATACATAATAACCTGAATTTCTGTAATGTATTTATAAATTCATATGACCTGCTATTACAGTTTTATTAGGTCAGGAGGGTTTCTTTGTTTTCTTTATTCACTAGCATATCTGAATAGGGAAATAGCACTGTGCTTGAAGACAAACTCACTGGAATATATGGGAAAATACTAATTAAATTAGTCTTACCTGACATGATCAAAATGGATGATGCCATGTGGGGAAATACATACTTTGTTTAATTACATAACATGTTCTAATAAACCCAGAGCCACCTTTTACATCATCCTGTCCAAAATGTGAAGATATATCATCTTATGTGGTTTTGCCTAAAAAAACAACCTAAAAATGTTTATTGTAATTTTGGGGCTTTGGGATTAGACTCAAATTATGTACGTAAGTGCAAAGATATAAGAATGGTTGTTGAGGTGAAATAAATTAGAATGGCGGGCAAAAGTTCAGTTATGTTAGTAATCCAAGGTAAAACTAATATACAGTATGAGAAAGACTCATTACATACAAAGCCAGATATTTCAGCCTTTATTTGTTATAACTGTGATGATTATGGATTACAGCTGATGAAAAGCCCACATAAAAAATTTCAGACAATTAGAATATTTTAAAAAAGGTTCAATATTCTAGGCTCAAAGTGTCACACTCTAATTAGCTAATGAATTCAGAACACCTGCAAAGGGTTCCTGAGCCTTTAGATGGTCTCTCAGTTTAAGCTGAATTACTGACATTAATGGACTTTTTGCACCATTTTACATTTTTTGAGTTTCAACTGAAAATGCTGCAAGATTTTCCATTTTACAGAAAAGGTTAGAAAACGAAACACCTGATATCAAAATGTGGTTTGAAAAGGTGACATCCTTTCTAACATGAGAGAGAATCTTATTTGTTTTCAGAATGGCTTTGATGTCCTTTATAAAGCTTTTTTAGGAGCAGAGCAAGCTAACGCAGAACAAACTAATGCAGAGTAAACTAATGCAGAGTAAGCTAATAAAGTTAAAGTGATTTCAAATGAACCTAATAGTGCTAAATGAAGAAATAAACACATTAACCATCATGTTGAAGCTTTTAGCTGCAGCACAGTTACAGTAAAACATGAAAAGTAACAGTCTACCAGTACAGACTTCTCCCAAGATCATAAAGCAGGGCTGCCAACTCTCGTGAGACACACACATTTGACCCTCATCACACACTCTCATGCCACATCTCCAATATCTCACTCTAAACCAGCGCCTGTACCCCCCAAACACGCATCATGCACAGTGTGTAGGGCTAATGAAAAAAAAACCCAGATTATATTAATTATAGCATTAGCTACTGAACAGCATGCACACAAACAACTTAAGTAAAGTTACAAGTTATGTACGTTAAAGTTACTTAAGAAAACCCTTAAGTAATAAATTGACTGGTGTTTTTTCACACACAGAATCCCATCTGTATTTGGGAATTTTTAATGCTCCAGCTGAGAGTGAACCTGTAAGGCTTGTCACCAGCAACAGCAATTAGATAGACAGACAGACAGACAGACAGACAGACAGACAGACAGACAGACAGACAGACAGACAGACAGACAGACAGACAGACAGACAGATAGATAGATAGATAGATAGATAGATAGATAGATAGATAGATGGATGGATGGATGGATGGATGGATGGATGGATGGATGGATGGATGGATGGATGGATGGATGGATGGATGGATGGATGGATGGATGGATGGATGGATGGATGGATAGATAGATAGATAGATAGATAGATAGATAGATAGATAGATAGATAGATAGATAGATAGATAGATAGATAGATAGATAGATAGATAGATAGAT